CAAGTCCAAATGTCTGTAGTCAATGCAATTTTTGAAGTAAAGCTATTAAGATAAGTAAAAATGTCTTTTTTACAATCTGTAAATCTGTTGATAACATCATCCTTTATTATCTTTCTGCATGGTATAACATAACGAAAATCCAATGAATGTACTGATTTTTGAACTCAACTTGCTCAACAACTTTAAAAGGCTGTAAATTAACAGCAATTCAGTTAACTAAATTGGTTGTAATGTATGCTTGTTCATGTTTGGTATAAGGTCTGAACTGATATGAAGTGAGTTTTGTTTGTTTGTTAGAAGTGTTGGAAGTATAGGTTATAGTATATTTTTTTTGTAAATAGCGGCATAAAGTAGAAGTAGCATAAAAAGCAGCAAAAGTTGCATGACATAATTTGCATTTATTTGATTTTAGAACATTATTTTTATCAACTATTTTCTGAAAATAGTCCCAAACATCAGAAGCCGCTTTAATTTTATTGTTTAAAGGTTGAGAATGGGTGAAAGCTAAGGAAAGAAAAGAATCAGCTTTGCTAATATTATCAGACGACATTTTTTGATTGTACTCAGCGTATGATTGTAAATTCAAAATTTGTTACACTTGGCGTAGTTTATCATTTATATAGTTTAAAAAATGCGTAAATGTAATATGTAAAAACACGTCTATCAATAAAAGGTTAAGGGCAATCGATCGATAAGACGATAAGACCATCTTTTATAAGACCGTTAAAAAGATCCTGATCCTATGATCAATCCTGTCAATCCGTCTCAAAAAAGATTGGTATAAGACCAGTCCTATGACCGGACCAATGATTTTTCAGTCTGGATCAGATCGTTCCCATTCCTAGGTATAATTAAGGTGATATTTACATATACAACTTTTTTTTTCTTATTCCGACCCCAAGCCGTCGTGCTATTTTCTTCAAGCATGAACCTATCGCAGTTTAAGAAGTGTTGACGAAAAAATTATTAAAGTCTGGACGAGACACTTCACAATTAAGGTATGAATGAAATATATTTTTTTCGGCTGTAACTGTGCATTTGCAAAAGAGTGATTCATAGCTTGTAAAGCTAATCTCTATTTTTTTGTTCAGAAATTTCGAGGACTTTCTTAGGCGGAGAACATACTTTCGGTGAGTTTTGCTAAGGCTAATATTGTTAATTTATTTCTGACTCTTCTATGCATAAACTGAAGACTATTTTATTCTATCCAGAATATCGACGTTGAGACAAATGAAATTGGATTAGAGTTAATGTTGGGATATGTTAGTATATAGATAGCTTAGATAGCTTAGATGAACGAAACACCGGCAGGCATTAGTATAGAAACACTGTTTCACTTTGTAAAACAAGTCTATGTATCATTGAGTCATGTAATTTTATTTTCTATATCAATAAATCAGTAATTCCGATGAGGATATCACCTCATTTTTTTATCTATGCTAATGAACTTTTGAATTATTCCATCTCATATAAAAAATTATCATTGAACATGCAATCTACTGATTCATTAAGAGAATTAAATGTCAAGTTCCTAGCTGAGATCGCTAAACTTAAGAAAGAGAATGTTGAGATTCCTGAACTTAGAGAGAAATTACTAAGATTTGCTGAGGTTGAGGCTGAGAATGCGAAGCTGAAGCAAATTATTGAAGAGAATGCAAGGCGTGATTCTGAGAATGCTGAACTCAAGTCTAGAGTCAGAGAGCTTGAGGCTAGACTTGCATTATTAGAACAGAGTTCATCAGTGAATGGGATGGCGTTGTCATTTGGTCAGACACAAAACGGTGAAGAAGTGATGTCAGTAGTGATGGTACCAACTGTTGATATACCCGATTCTGTAATAGATCAACTCAATAATGAAGTAGGACGAGCACCTAGTAACCTTGATGGTAATGATGAGGAAATAGTCAATTTCTTGGATGAGGCATATAAGAAAAGCATTAGCAATGAGATTAGAGAGAGGAGGCGGGAAAAGAAGCAGAAAGATCAAGAGGCACTTGTAATTTTTCAGAACGTGACTAAAATTCCTGAGGTTACGGACATGTTAACTTCAGAGCAAGACTTATCACAATCTTATGAGGCTAGTTCTGAGAGCATAAAATCAGCATCTTGCATCTTATCAAAGCAACCGCAAGTTAATGCATCCAAATTAGCATGTAATCTTGAAAACTGTGAAGATTCTTCACAATTGGAGTCATGTGATATGGTGGAACTTAAACCCGATCAGCATGATGAAGTAATTGCCAAATTGGATAAAAATATAATTGTGAAACAGGAGTTAAAGCAACAGTTATCATCACCTGCGCACACTCTTTCATCAGATCAAATTTAGAACAGGACTCGGGCTCATCAGATACTGCGCAAAATATAGCTTGCATGTTTAGGAAAGCCATTAAAGTTGGTCAAGAAGCAATTTTATACTAATGTTATTTTATAGAGAAATATGACAAAATGATTGATAACTTTGTTGCTGATGGAGTTAAGAAAAAAACTGCAACATCTATGGTATATCAAGAAATCAAACAGCTTTTACTTGATATAACAGATGTGAATTTGCGTCAAAAAATCCTTAGAGCTAGAAAATTATATAAATTATTCAATACATTAGGAATAGAGAAAATTAAACAGGTCTCTTATAGTGCAGATGCTATTTTGAGCCTCAGTTACCTACAAATATAAAATATTATAGATTATGTGAATTCAGTAACAAGTTCACACAATAAAATTGTGAAGATTCTTCACGATCAGAGTCATGTAACTTCAAAAATTAATCTGACTAATACATATATTCCTCCGAAAGCACCTTAATCTAAGCCAACTTATGATCAATTCTATTTTCGTAGCAAAACATTGGATCAATATCCTAATTTATATAGTGAATTTAGTAGCGAAAATTTTGATTATTATGGTATTACCAATGAAACATCATGCTCATTATGCAAGTTAAAGCATGATGATGAGGAAAGCATAGAGAATACATATAAAGCTGGATCTTATTTTATTAAATGTGAACAGCGTGAAATTGAAATAGTTGCATAGTCAGGTCACTTT